CCTCTGGACTGATCTAAGTCAGGGCACGGCTAACTCACAGATCAAACCCTGAAACAACCTCTGGACTGATCTAAGTCAGGGCACGGCTAACTCACTGATCAAACCCTGAAACAAACTCTGGGCTGGTCTAAGCATGGATGGCATGGCTACCTTAAGGATTGAATCATGAAACAATCTCTGGGCTGATCTAAGTCAGGGCATGGCTAACTTACATGTAGTTTGTATAAAACATCTGTGCTTGTCTTAAAAATTTCAGAACGATTTCCAGGGTCGCAGTTACTAAAGCTACGGACACATGATGCAGCATTGCGCTTAATGTTGCATGCACGCAATCGATGTTGCGAGCCATGGTACACGACGCAATTTGTTGCACGCAACGTTGCTGAAGTAGAAAACTATCCTACTTCAGCAACATTGCCTGCAATGCTGCACTCTGTGTCTGCGCTTATTAAGGCCTTGGCCACATAGAGCTCTTACCTATAGCATTTAACTAGCTTTATTCTTATCATTTTTCATTTAGCCACTTAATCTCGCATAAAATATTCGTCTTTTCCGCCTTATTTTCCGGGGCTTTGATAAAGTGCTTCTTTTACTACCCATAAATAGCTTACAAGTGTCAGTAACTGCGGGCAGTTTTAGCCGCAAGGGTCATTGATCATCCCTTTTTCGTGATTATCGTGTTTGTGATATTTCATTAGTTGTGTCGATTTCTTCCTGTTTTTACTTGTTTACCCAGATATTTTATCTAGTTCGACTGCCTTCTTTTATCGAAACAATTGAAATACGAAGATACAATATTAATATATGATATGGACCACAGAATGGCCGAGATATGTTAGAGGGAAGTGGATATGCAAACACTGTGTGGTATTTTGTAACTTATGAAGATCAAATTATTAATCAGGTCTAGAAATCGAGCCTATTCTAGTTTCAAATTAAAAGATGAATATGGAACGATCCCATTTACTAGATCTAAATAAACTTGAGGTCTCTATCACCAGTACCCGGTTGCACGAAGGAAGAATAGCGCTATATCCAACATAACGGATAAATCTTTATCCAGCACGCAGTGGACAAGTCGAAGCTGTTATCCAATTAATTTATCCACTGAATTAGATGTATCCGTCGGATAGCGCCATCAAACCTTCGTACAACTGGGCCCTGTATGGCCGCGCGTATCAAAGGGGCTTCAAAGAATTCGAAGTTCTTCCATCAAGTGTACACCTTCTAAGGAGATTTGAACGCCGATAAAGATGATATGCGTCTGCATGAAGCTTGTTTTAGTCATTTTATACTTATATTAACTTTGCAGCCCTTGATGGCGCTTTAGACTTACATCTTATCAGATAGCTGGGGTGAATACAGACAGACCTGTCGTAATAGACCGATCCCGGCTATTCTTGAGTGTCCACTCAAACAATAGGTAGTTTTCCCGATGGAATACAGAATGTCCGAACAACAAACTCGATTTTTTATCTAATAGTTAGTTATCATGTAATTTACTATTCTTAGCAATCGGTGTCTGTTCCAAGCTGTACATCAAAAACACATCTTAGCTTGTCCGAGTAACTAGGAAAGTAGAACGATGAATCAGTGCGGGAACGGTCCATTGCAATCTCTACTCAGTTTTAAATGCGTTTCTCCGGCACAGAAAGCTTAGAACTGCTAAATGCGAAGAAGACACTTTTCAATTATTGGCTAACACACACAAATACAGAGCATGTAAACACAACTATTTTTTGAGATCAAGGCTCGTTATTTCGAAGATAGAATCGTAAACAGTATTGCAAGGTCAGAAAAAAGACAAAATATTGCTCAGTTGGTGAGTATATATGTGCAGCCAGCAAAACGAGAAAGTTTGTTATTTGATTCAGTTACATCACACATTTCTGCTTAGCTTTGTCTCTCATGATGGCTGTAGCCGCTTAGCTTTATGAAAAAACCCTTGAAAGCATTTTATTCGATATATGGACTAAAAGGGGGTTTATCGAGTGAAGTTCGCAATGTTGGTTTCCATCGATAGCAACTGAATTTCACCTGGAGGAACTATCTAAATACATACTGACCATAGTTTACGACATGTCAAAGCAATTTAAAAGATTAAAGAGTTATGTTATGGAGGCACATCCGTTCGCCAATGACGAATTAGCTGTCAATAAAAAAACTTTCTTTCAAAAATGCATATATGTTATCGGCTTTAAAAAAAATCATTCTGACGAACAAAAATTATGCTTTTCACGTCTACAAAACACCTGTTTTGTTCTCAGTCCCCGAGCAACTAATGCCTCAATTTTCACAGAGTCACCTTATCACGTGGTTATTATTGAGCATGAGAAGCAAGATGGCGTGAAGGCTCTTATCGTGACCCAATAATCCAGTTTCGAGTTATCTTTTTGCTCAGATTCCTCAAATATTAGACCAATTCATTCAATTGCAAGGCATCGGAATTATAAATCAACTTGTATTGTTACGTAGTACGTACATTCATTGTACATTACAATGCCGGTACCTTAATAAAAGAAAGGAACAAATGTGCACACCATCGAGGTAAAAGCTGAACAAAGGCGTACTCGAAATGGGAGTATAGATGCAAGAAGATTCAGAAAAACTGTGAGATGTTGGTCAATCTGGGCACCCCTACTTTACCCTTCCCTTCTACACACCAACGTTTCTGATATTTAGCAACATATATATACATCGCGTGATAATGATGAATTCTGGCGATCCAAAGCTGCCTTTTATTACATATACCTCAGGGTATAGACTTATAGATGGAACGTTTGCTTTATGCGATTTCATGTAGTGCATCAGTAATGAGCTTATTTTAAAAGCTTCGAGCGCCGGAGAGATCGACGAAAGATTTAAATAAACCCTCAAGCAGCTCAAGTGGCTTTATTTAGTTAAATATTTTGCCTCTTGGCGACATAACATGTCATTCAAAATTTACAAGGAAATGAACCAGCTTTACCTAAGTGAAAATGATCGGTATTGTCAGTTAGTGCGTTCCATATTGGTGATGTCAATGTACATCCGTATTGAGCTAGTGCACGCAAACCAAACGCAAAGTAAAGCAATCCCAAACCCCACAAATTAAAAAATGAAGCGTGCTGTATTGTGTCGCACAAACACTCACAACACACGCCGCGCATAACTTGGATTAATATCAAAAACCGATACACGAAAATTGATCAGTGTATCTAAACGCTTTAGAACTGAAGATAATAATCTTTAAGCCGGATTAGACATTGATTGTATTTGAAAATGGCTCGTAGATTATCGCAGCAATTTCCGATAAAATGGGTATGAAACTGCGAGACGTGCTCGGCGTTAGTTGTAGTCTCTAAATTCAAAGATAATCCGAAATAATGTTAGCGATAGCATAAGCCGGTTTTTATGATGGCGGCATGTAGTATTAGATGACTGTGTAAAGGATACAGTCAAGCTTTGAAACTCCGGAAATTGTGCGGAGTAGACAGCTCATTTTCGTACGGCTTTTGAAAGAGAATTTACTGAGCTGATTGCGCGCGTAAACAATGAATTAAGATAACATCACTATATAGTAGGATTTATCGAAGTTTTTACTCGAATGTGAAAAAATCGCTTTAAAAAGTAGGCATTGTTTGTGTGTCAGTGTGTTGTGTTGGCATATATTATACTCCGGTCAGTAAAACATTTCTTTATTTGTGGTGTCCAACAGAACTAAAAGAGCTACCATTCAATGCGCGGTGCGATAAATCATTGACTTACCTCACAGACGAAAGTTTTTTCGACTTGACCCTGTCTTGAATAAAGCTCGAGCTAAGGGTGAAAATAGTTCGACAGAGTTTTCCAGCTATTATTTAACTCAGCGAGAACGATAATATACAGCAGTCGTCACGTATGAATCTCTAAGGTACTAACTTCCTCTTGCTAATAGCTGTAGTCTGCAAATGAAAAAAGAACCGTTTGTCAGCTTACTTTAGCTAGCGGCTCATCAATCAATTTTARTTGATGCCATTTTCAATTTTTTTGTGACGTACAAAGGAGAAAAAAAGTCTTTCAACTGGCAATGATTTAAGTGGTTGAAGTAGCTGTCTGCTACACCTTTTATGTGATAGTTACAAACCAAAAATGGAGGCTGTTTGTATTAAAGCAATATATATCCCAAGGGCTGCAGGCCCGAGGGTAATTAGATCATATTAGACATTTTAGGATGGAATACAGGTGGATACTTTTTCGAGTCTGCTGTATGTTGTCGAGCGCTACCGGGCGTGACAAGAGGTCCACTTGTATATTCCACCCTAAAATTTCTAAAACTGTCTAAAACTTAACATAAGAACAAAAGAAGGTTTAAACAAAAGAAGGTGAGAAATTCGGGATAAAATAACATGCGTACTGGAAAATATTATTAAACTAAAAACTGGCTTATTGAAGCACGAGTTTTTGATCTGGCTTCTCAAACAAATCAATGATGAACGACTTCAAAGAGATAACATTAGTTTTGAACTTTTTCACAAATAATTAATGATCAAACTATGAGGAGAACATCAATAAAATATGAAATCAACCCAAAACTGTCAACGAATTGTTACGCACGAGTTGCAAGGAAACACTTAAGACCCAGTGAATTGTCGTCAAATGTGTTTTAATAACACCAAAACTAAGGTTAGATACAAAAATACAACTAAACTAGACAAAATCTAACCTAGTCTAAACTAAGTTGACTTAATTATTACAAACAGTTCGAAAGCTTGCCTCCAGAGCTCTTAGTTCTTGTTCTTTGTTTATGTTTTTGTTCTTGTTCTTCCTCTTCTTCTTCTTCTGTGTATTACTCTGTTGACCAGCTATTAGAACGGTAGACAACTGATGACTTATACATGAAGGCTTGTACAATTACCAAGGCTAAACTCACAGCTCTGGTTGTTCTCCTTATATACCTAGCTTTTTTCTAAATATAATTATTAAATCATTCCAGAATGTTCTTTGTAAATGTACTAAATCGCAATGACTAAGCATTGAAGCTTCGAATTCTAGAGGATTCTAGACATTTTCTTTAACATAACTCAAGTAGAAGGTTACAGAATGTTCTCGAATGTTCTACTCAGTTCTAATTAACAGCTAAACAACATAATCTATTATTAGCTTAGTTGGTAATGCACTAGAATTTCACGCCAAAGGTTCCCAGTTCGAGTCTCGAGTTTGGTTAATCGGCCCGATAGGAGAAATATATATATATGAAATATATATATATAAAGGGGTTTTTCTAGTGCTGCTTGATCTTTCGGCACCATTTGACACGGTTAATCATACGATTTTGCAGGATAGGATGTTCTCTAGAGTTGGTATAATGGGAAGTGCCCTGAAATGGTTTCACTCTTATTTGACTGACAGGTGTTTTTGTGTCGCTGTTGAGGGTAGCGTTTCGTCCACCCACTCTTTGCATTGCGGTGTTCCGCAAGGGTCTATCCTAGGTCCCATCTTGTTCTTGCTATAGGTGATATTATTAGAGAACATGATATTGACTTTCCATTTGTATGCGGATGACACCCAGTTATACATTTCATTTGAAGCGTCATCTGAAGAAATAAAATCTGTGAAACTCAGAATTGAGTCTTGTGTTAGTGAAATTGATTTGTGGATGACTTCTAATAAGTTAAAACTAAACACTGATAAGACTGAGGTTGTTTTGCTGTCATCGCCCCAGACCACCCATTGTTTCTCTTACGTGTAGTGAACATAACATCTGCTTCTCGGAATCAGTTCGGGATATAGGAATTATCGTTGATAATGAATTCTCCTTAGAGGACCAGATCACTTCCATTTGCAAGTCATGTTTCTTCCACATCAGAAATATTTGAAAAATTGGAAGATTTATTTCTCTTGAAGCTTGTGAAACTCTAGTACATGCTCATTTCTTCACGACTTGACTTTTGCAATTCTTTGTATGGAATACCTAAATACTTAGTGCAAAAACTTCAGCGAGTTCAAAATTCGGCAGCATGTTTAGTGTCCTGTTGTCGTAAACATGATCATATTACTCCTGTTCTCTATAGCTTACACTGGTTGCCTGTGGAATACCGAATCAACTACAAGATACTTCTTCTTACTTTCAAGTCTTTAAATGGTTATGCGCCCTCTTATTTAAAGGAACTTGTAAAACCATATGTCCCAGCTCGTCAGCTTAGATTTCAATTTTCCAATTTTTTTGTCACTCAAGATATTACTTTCAAATCTTCATACCTTCAAATTTTACCCAACCCTGAAACAACCTCTGGGTTGATCTAAGTCAGAGCACGACTAACTCACACAGATCGAACTTTGAAACAACTTCTGGGCGAATCTAATTAAGTCAGGGCACGGCTAACTCACAGGATCGAACTCTGAAACAACCTCTTTACTGATCTAAGCCAGTGCACGGTTAACTCACAGATCGAACCTTGAAAAAACCTCTAGGCCGATCTAAGACGTCAGGGGATGGCTAACAGATCGAATTGAAATTTAGCTGTTTTGGTTTTGAGGAGGCTGAAGGAAAACCGAAAATTAAATTAGAACCGGAAGAAAAACCCTTGGAGGAAAAAAAACACCTTGAAGTAATCAGAGACCCTATGAACTCTACTAACAAATGTGATAAGAGAATATACTGTTTTGGTTTCTAGTATTTGTCTTTTTATAGTTTGAACTGAGTTCGATTTTTCTTGTCGTATAGTTGAACTCTAAGTTCAATTAAGTTTATAGCACACGCGTTGCGTCTCGTCAGTGGTTTCGTGTAGCCTAAGGCATCTGTGGGGATATGCATGTATTAAAATGCTTTTCTACGTTTGAATATGACTATATAGAGAAGGATGTTGAATGACATCCGATGCGAGTGAAAACCGTCTGCGCATGCTCAAAGTCGGTAATCAAATTAGGCCAAGGCGATTTGCCGTCAGCAAGGTTACACTGTTTGGAACCTGTTTTCTTTAACTTATTTAAGTGTTCAAGTGTGGATCCATCTAGTAGTTTGGTGGTTAGTCTCTCCTTGGAGTTGATAAAATTCTAAAGACGACGTTAATTAATGGCTCTAGCTAACATATACCTCCATGAAATCATTCTGGTCGACCCACCATCTTTTTATATTTTTATTTCTATATATTTTCATTTAGTTCAGGTGGGGGATAACCTGACAAGGACAAAATAAAAACGGGCCACTATGTTCCGCTATATTGATTCATATAAAATCCAAAACCGAGCCGAGGCTACCTCCTAGAGCTTCCGTATCATTAGAATTCACTGAGGATCAATATTGAAACTTCCTATAATAGTACTATGCTTTTTATGGTAGCATGTTTTGCTTATCCATCTCCCCTTGTCCTGACTGCATCCAGTTACATTTAGGTCATATACGAAAGTTTGAAACATGGATTATTAGTCATGTACCCTGGGATCCAGAGGTCAGTCAGTCGCTTCTTAAAACGAGCAAACGCTAAACGAGCGACTTCTCGGCTTTTTCATATAGTTCAGCTTCAACTTCCTATTCATAGACGTCCTTTATGTAAAAAGTCCCCATTATGCTTTAAGTGCTGAGTATCGATCTAGGGCCAAACAAGCTAACTATATCATGATATAAAGGAAGCTTTAAAAGGGACAGAAAAGACTTCTTAGGTTTTGCCTAATACTAAGACCTGTTAATGAAAGACTTTAGTTCATTAACTCGAGGGGAAAATAACGGGGGAAAACAGTACATAACAAAACCATAAAAATGCAAGAATCAAGTAAACAGTTCCGCCATAGACCAACAAACGCACAAAAAATACTATTAACTAATTGCCAATTAAATCTTAAATCATGTCTTGAAAAGAATTATGACGGATCCTAGCCTGACCTAGCTATATCATCGCACAGAATTGCCCATCAACTCTGGTCATTTCCAAATGAGGGATATTATGTGAAGAATGGGGAAGCATTTTTTAAAGCAAATTCGCGGGCATTATCTCCAAATTAGGTACCAGTCTCCACTCGTACAGCTTCTCGAACTCGTAACAAAATATATGCCGAGTTCGTGAGCAAATATGTCCGTTTTAAAGCGAGATCTGGAGACGAAATTATGGATATTGAGCAATATAGAGGCCAGGTTTCTATAACTATACAAATGGCGGTAGAAGGACGAATTCTTATATCAAAAAAAGCACTGGAAAGTCGTCATTTTGGACTGTTTTGCTTTGTTGGGTCAAAGTTAAAACTCCTGAAAAATCGCTACTTGCTTTCAGCTTCAAAGAGAGCGGAATTTTGGAAGCAATTAAGCAATGGTTGGGCAACCAATTTAAGTTGTTACTTTGAATGATTTTCTTCACGACGAACAGCAGGACCCGAACGAAGTGCTGGAATGATAAATTTCCATACATATAAACACTACGAAACCTGAAATTATCCCACAAAAAATCGCATGTTGGCAAATTGAATCACCAAAATAAATGGCAGGATTATATTGTGTGGTTGTCATTCTTTAATATTCCTAAGTTACTTTTCTTACAATAGAGAGTTTTAGATTGACATTTTTTTCTCCCCGCAAACGGCAAACGTGACAACGTTTTCATAGTTTTCCTGTATTTTACTTTACCTTTTGCAAACCTTCTCACCAAGCGCAAAAACTCTTTTGTTTTTCTACTACTTGGACTTTTTTGCGATTCTTTTTCAGTAATTTAAAATGATTTTTTTACTGGTCAACTGACGTTTCACGTTTGCCGTGAACGTAAATCTAAAACTCTCTATTAACTTTCGATTTTCTTCACGAAGCGCTTAAACTTTCAATATTATGACTTTGCCTTATAAATATAAATGGCCGTGAGAGGAAAATTGATATTCGGAAACTGGAATCTAGTAATTTATTCTCTAATTTCCCGGATTTGTCACTCAATTCTGTGCGATGTCATAGGTTTATTTCTTCTAAAACGGTTTCGTGTTACAT